TGGACCTTCCCTTGGAGATGACAACTTACGAGACTTCCCTTTGGTCTTCCTGGGATTATACAACGACACCTTGTCTCCTGGTACAAAACTAACTTCAGTAGATCTCTTATCATAAGATAACTTCATCGAATCAGCAGACGTTTTCAAGTTTGAATGCATTTGATGGTGAATATTATCCATCCTTTCTGATAACCCTTTTACGAATTCTGATACATTTTCAGGCAACTCTCCATAAGGTTTCTTTGTCTCCTGGTACAAAACTAACTTCAGTAGATCTCTTATCATAAGATAACTTCATCGAATCAGCAGACGTTTTCAAGTTTGAATGCACTTGATGGTGAATATTATCCATCCTTTCTGATAACCCTTTTACGAATTCTGATACATTTTCAGGCAACTCTCCATAAGGTGGGCGTCCTGTTAACAGATCTACTGGCAACCGAAGTTCCCGACCAAACATCAACTTTGCTAGAGTGCATCCAGTGGTTTCATACTCTGCTGTCCTATAGGCCATCAACAGTGGAGGGAGTAAGACATCCTAGTCATCTTGGCGGCTATTACAAAACTTTGCCAATTCCTGTCCCAGTGTCCAGTTGTACTTTTCTACCATCCCATCAGACAAGTGGCGTTGTCCTGGTCTTTCATATGCCAAACAACTTGCAGCATTCATGGAACACAGCTGATTCAAAGTTACGGCCTGGATCTGAATGCAGATTGTATGGCATACCAAATATGAAGAAGAAATCACTAATAGCCAAAGCTACAGTTGTAGCTTCCTGATTTGGTATTGCATATGCCTCAGCCACTTGGAGAAATAATCCATCACCACACAAATGTACTTGTTTCCAGCACGAGTTTGAGGCAAAGAACCAGCAATGTCAATGGCCGCTCTCTCCATTGGTGTGTCAACTTGATATAACTTCATTGGAGCACTTCCCTTATGCTTGGGTCCCCTTTTAGCACAACATGTACTGCAAGTCCTGCACCATTCTTCCACATCTTGCCTCATACCTATCCAGTAAAATCTCTGTCGTAGGTGACTCAATGTCTTCTTAACTCCGAGATGTCCTCCTCTTAAACTATCATGGGATTGACGCAACATAACTTCCCGTAACTTTCTCGGTATAACCATTTGCCAGGTCGTCACTTTCCCATGTGCAGTTTTCCATTTCCGGAGAAGAATACCATGTTCAAGCTTCAACTGGTCCCATCGTGCCCAATAGTTCTTTGTCACAGGGCTTAAGCTAGACACCTTCTCCCAAGCAGGGTGCAAAACACTTGCTTTAGAAAATCAATTATTGGCTTCAAATCTTGGTCTTTCTCCTGCTCTGATTTAATATCTACACCTGGTTCCGTTTCACCATCATCAACTCCTTCAGTCACTTTGGCTTCAGCTTGATAACACCTAATTAGTTAAACCTCTCTTTTAACAGTTACCGGAACTTGGCCTTTGTTGTTCCCAAACGTCATTTTATCAAAAGTAATTACACACTTCCCCGGTAGTAAGTAGTCCAATCCTAATATGCATTGGTCTTCAATGTCAGCCAAGTATACTTGGTGTCTGTCCTTCATGCCTATGAACTCAATAGTTATCCACATTGGACCCCACAACCTTGCAGAATGTCCTGTCATACACAGAGCTTCTGTATGGCTTCTGGTGCTCCTTTGTGATCCAGCATCTTGATACTCACAAGGGTTTGCTGAGACTCAGAATCTATGACAAAGTTGCACCTTTGGTCAGCCAGCTTTCCTGTCACATAGACACTGTCACATTTACACTTAGCTGTTGGGACTTTCACAACTGGGGTTGGTAGGCATCCATCAACACGAACCACTACTGGTTTCCTTGAGGCTG